ATAAAGAGAAATTCTGATGTTTTGAAGCGTTTGCTATAACCCCTCTAATTAACCTTACATGGCCCTGATTTTGCAAGCAGTGATTGAATATGTGGCACTGTTTGCAGCTACTGAGTGTTATTTGGCCACTCTTTAATTAAATGTTTAACTATAGTTTGAGACTATTATAGAAGTAAAAATAACCTCATCATATGAAGTCATCACCTACACTACAATAGGGGGCTTCATTTAGTTAGTGTGGAAGAGGTGAGAGATCCTCCTGCTGTATATTCTAAGGGGGACTTGAATGCCGAGTACAAAAATGTTAAAGATATTCTTCAAGAGCTACGAAGGGTATAATTCCACTTTGTGTGCACCAAACGCATTTGCCAACCCAGATCATGCCTTGTAAAAGTATCAGCAACACCAACACTGTGCAGAAAGCAGAGCTGTGAGAGGGGTCCAGCAGGCACCACACACTACAGGCTGCCTTCAGAAAACTACAGGAGGGGGCGGATACAAGACCAGTCACCCTGCACAGTGAGAACAGCAGCAATGACTGGCATTTATTACAGGAAACTCCTGCACAGAGTCAAAGTTTCACACTGGATTACTACACAGATCTCCAAAAAAATACATAAAGCACACCAGGATTCAAGTAGTGCCTATTTAGACAATGTTTTCTGTTTTTTGAAGCCAGCTTTAAAGCCTTGTGTTCTAAAGCAATACAGTCTTTTAGAGCCCTTTCACACTCCCATAATGCACGACAATGCACCTGCACTATGCAATGCCACTCATTGTGAATGGCACCCCCAACACATTGTACAGTTTTTCAGGCGGACCTGATCGGATGCCCAATGCAAGTCACGTCACACATATCTGTTTACATCAAATCCCCATAGACTGGCATGGGGTCCATTAATTGCAGTTTTTCCCTCCATCTCAAGATGGAGGAAAAAACTGTACGGACACAGATGTCACAGCGGTGGCATCCGATCAGTACTGCTGTGATCAGGAGAGGATCTATGCACGGATCCTCTCCTGATCAGCCAGTGTGAAAGGGGGCCATAGACCTAATCTGCACTTCCGGGAGCTTATGC